CGCTGAATATAACATGCAAGCTATTTGTCGTATTCCTACCACATCTTCCAAAAAAATCTTCTATAAACAAAGGCTGCTTGTATATAGCTGTACTTTACTGGATTTTGGAAAAGAAAAGAGGGAACTATCATGTTATTGCTAGAATGAAGGTGTTGGTAATAAAGGTGCTAATGAGGACGGATCATTTTTGTTTAAATACATGACAGAAAAAGCAGATGACAAACCGATCACTTCTGTGTTCGACACTTCGGCGAGTCAATGCCGAAATATGTATTTTTAACATTGATATATTATGTGGCGTTTTTGGATATACCGAAAATAAATCAAAAATATTTTGAACTTAGTCAGACGGAAGTAGACACCACTCATTGCTATAGATCTGGCCAAGAAAAGAGCAACTTCGTCAAGATTAATTTTAAAAGTTTACAGCGGTCCAGTAGCTATACAATTAGCTGTTAAGTAGGTACAACGATTTGGAAGAGCTGTGTCGATCTGGAGACATTCTTCAACATATTATAATTTTTACAGCCACTTGCAGGTCGACCACGAATAATAGCATGCTAAATGGCAGAGTGTTGCTGCTTAAATTAGTTTATAATAACTACATTAAACGTTAAACATTACAAATATTACAAAAAAATAAAATATAAATAAAGTTTAAAATTAAAGAACAACCAGAAAAAGAAAGGTAAAAGTCAAAATTAATTAAAACTAGAAATTAAAATCTCAAACTAAAAAAGGAACTTGCAAAAACATTTTAAACAATAAAAAATTCGACATTAAAGATAAACAAAACGTTGGTAGTTTATTTTTATGAGTGTATGGTGGATGTGGACGATGACCGATGATATCCATGTTTGTGTCACAATTCAAATTAATGATAAGGTTGAGATCAATATGAATAGTAGGTAAATATGATTACCCCAAGAACAAAGCTATTTATTAATTTATAGGTTTGAGTAAGCATTCAGTAGATTCGTATTTAAGATCCTGAAGCCAAGTTTTTAATTTTTTCTTGGACTATGCTTTATTTAGAGGATATATTGATAATTCTTTGTTAATCTTATTATATAGGTAGGGACCCAGAAAACCGTAAAAGTGTTGTGTAAGACTTGTTCTACATCTAATTACCTTGCAAACCGTTGCGTTTCTTCTCTTATTTTCCGTTGTATTTCGATCAAATGTTGATTCTGAGTGTTTTTAAACGGTTTTATTTAGCTCACCCTGTATGTTTTTTTAATACCACAGTTATAACGAACAGCTGTCGAACTGTTAGCACCCCACAGTGTTGGTATAATTCAGACGTAGGATATAGTATTGGTAGAAAGCTGCTTACTTTTAAAATAGCTCTCTGAGCTCGCTCTAACTTTATTATGGTTGTTTTTACAGCTGCACCCCATGCAGTTATGCAGTAAGTTATAAGAGATTGGCACAGGGCAAGATATACCATTCTTATTGAAGGAGTTTCGGCAATGTGTCGAAGAGATTTGAAAATGTAAATCAGTTTCCGTATTCTAGACGTCAGAGCATCAATATGTTTGTAAAATTTTATTTCATCATCAATTATGACAGCCAGATATTTTATATCTGTCGTTTTTAATAAGTGGGGGCAATTACATGAATTGTTGCTAGAAGTAGAGTTACAATTGTGTGAGAAAATAGTCTGAACCGGATGGTCTTGTCTGCTAAGTGTAAAAGTCATGTATTTTGTTTTGTCTATATTAAGTGTCAGAATATTCCTATTGAGCCAATTATAAACCAAATTAAAACCGTCTTGAGCGCATTTGAACACTTCGTCCCCTGTGTCCCCATAAAAAAGCAAAACCGTGCCCTCGGCGAAAGTAATTATTTTGCCGTTGGTAAGATTCATATTACATAAACTATTTATGTAGATTAAAAACAAAGTAGGCCCAAGAATGCTGCCTTGGGGCACACCATATTCTACAGGTAGTGCATCGCTTACCCAACCATCGACTTTCACAACCTGTGTTCTTCCATTTAGGTAGTCCTAATATTCCCGTCTGGTAATTTTTGTGTTTAGCGGTTGTTGAGTCATTAAAATTTGTCTGACCAATGAATTTATTTAATTTTTAAATTTTAATTTAGTTTATTTTAATTAATTTTTTTATTATTTATTGTTCAAATGAAAAATGTAGTGTAAGAATAAGTATGCTTTATTAAAAAAAAACAATTAATAGGATAAGAATTGAGTATGAACTTTAACAAGTTTTTTTTATACATCTTCTGAATTTTGATCACAATACAAAAAAAAGAAACAATTAGATAAAAAAAAGCCACAAAAACCAAAATCCAGAGATTCTCAAAGAATTAATTGACAATTTCTGGATTTTGATTTTGGTGGTATATTTTCATGCAAGGGGTGACGCATAATGCTACTTTACAAATTTCGCATTCATATTTTGACCGCTTTTCTTGTTTTCAATGCTAAAAAATGATTTCCTCTTTGCCCTAGTCTTATTTCGTCCGGAACTCCAAATATCCTTTTTTGTTTTTATATACCACCGGATCTTGTTTTTTGTTCGAGATATGGCCCGATTTCAAACTTCTAGCTAACCGTAATCGGAAATCGCGATGAATGTTTTTACGATTTTGATTATTATGTTTATATAAAATATATGCGTTTATAATGCCACTCTCAAACAAGAACCAAAATATCCGGAACCAGGACTTTTTTGATCTGCGGCCAATCGAATAGGAACTTCGATAGTGATCAAAGTGATCCACACCACCCATATTCTTTGTGTACTCTGCGATCGCAGTTGGACAAAACATGTCTTTCTTTTGCCCGTTCTTTTGAGTTCTCTGGATCACTTCAACTTTGGTTGGATTAATTGCAGTTGTAACGACAAAAACTTCTTTCGTGTCTTGCCATTTGACCACAGCACAGGGATGGCAGAAGCGGTACGTAAACTCCCCAGGATCCAATTTATTTTCTTTGGCCTGTCTTCGTTCTTCAGCTGTTTTAGGGCGTGGTGGACACAGATCTTTAGGTAGGCCTTTTCGATTCATCCGTACTGTTCCTGTTGCCAAAATACCTCTATGATAAAGAGCTTCCATGAGAGCTAAAGACGAGAAAAAGTTGTCAAAAACCAAATGTGTGTTTCGTGGTAAATTCCCTCCAAGTTTCATTACAACTCTGTAACCTAATCCTTCCTCATTGGCTTCTTGGTCTTTGCCTGTGTAAATATCAAACTGATATAAATATCCGGTCTTAGAATCGCAACGGCACCATGCCTTAAACCCTCTTTTGATAGGCTTGGCAGGCATGTACTGTTTCTTAGCGTCGCGCCCTTTAAATTTGATCATACTTTCATCCACAGATTGGGATTCAGAGTTAGTGGCATTTTCTTGAAAAGTTCTGTTTAGAAAATCTAACAGGGGTCTTATTTTTTGCAATTTGTCGTGGTTTTTATGATTCTGGGGCAAATGAGTTGAATTGTCGCAAACATGTAGGTTTTCTAAAATTTTTTTAAATCTCTTGCATGCCATTGTACCACTAATCTCTATGTTATTGTAAAAAGGATCTGCGCTTCAATAAAGCTCTATATCTGACTGAGGATTTATTCCCATTAGAATGATTATAGCTAGGAATGCTTTTACTTCCTTCACGTTGGTGTCACTCCAAAATTTGCTTTGTTTCATTCTCGCATATTTATTTGTGTATTCAACAATCATTTGAAAAACCTCATCTGGAAATAAGTTACTGAAATATTCAATGGGGAGACTCTGCTGGGTATATGATTTAGTAGGTTCTAATAACTTGTCAAAATTGTACATATTAAAATTTTCAACATGTGTAGTCCATGTTCTATACCGTGCTTGCAAATCAGAATAAGTTGGCACATTAGCAGGTAAACTAGACGATGGTGCAGGCAATTGAACACAAGGTGGCATAGGTTGGTCAACAGATGGAGTAAACATTTCAGGGTGAGCAGGTGCGTTAGTCAAGGGTGCAAACAAAACACAAGGTGCCCTTTCTTCGTTAATAGGAGTAAGCATTTCAGGGTAAGCAGGTGAGTCAGAGAATGGTGCAAACAAAACACAAGGTGACCTATCTTCATCAGCAGAAGAAGTAGCCACTTCAGGGTGAATAGGTAAGTCAGGCAATGATCCAAACAAAACACTATAGCTGATTCTTCATCAACAGAATTAAGCAATTCAGGCAAGTCATAGGATGGTGCACACAATATAACAGAAGGCGGAATGTCTTCATCAGATGACTTTTCATTAGCTTGATGTACATCATCGTCTAATATTCGGAATAACTGTTGGTTTGACATACCTTGAAACTCGTTCAATTTTTCGTCGAATGATTTTGGGACATAATCTAAATATGGGTCTTTATCTTCATCATTTTCTTCCTCTGATGAAAACATATTATTTAGTAAGTTTTCGAGCTGTTGATCGTTTATTACCTGAATAACAAAAAATACACTAAGGTAGGCTGACAAATAATGACGACAAAAATTTAACACTACCCCGTTTAATATCGATAAATGACCGTAAGTAAATCCTAAAGAAAACCCATGGCAAAAGCCTAGTATGAAATAAAGATTTTAATTCAATGGACATATAACTGCCACAATAATCAGGCATTCATAGGCTTACGGCATATGGTTAATTTCGTTATATCATGATATTTTAGATTTTTAACTTATAATTTATACACAAATTACTAGAAAAACTCAAATTCTACACTTACCTTTCTCCGATTCGCCATAATGAATAAAAATACGGTGCACTAGTTACAAAAATGTCCGTTTAGCGGCTGACCACAGGTGAAATGGCTGCGAAAGTGACGTTTGCGTTTAGTTCAACATTGTTTTTTTTGGGTACCATAGGTAATATTTCTATGTGTGTTTTTGACAGATTGTGGTATATTCTTAACCAAAACCTGATAAAAACTCTTAAAAGTCTATGTGGGAAATGCTCAATCCATAGCCTGGTTAAGGGTTAGTAATAGTTATCTTAATAACATATTCAAAACTCAGACATGTATTAATAAATAAAGTTAATTTATTTTTGTTTGAGCTTTAAAGCGTCAGACCAAAGATTTGGTCCATGCAAAGTGGCTGACACTGATGGTACTAATTTAGAATAATATTGTACAAACCATATAAGATTATATAAAAATCACCCATAAAAAAAGTTAAGTTACTCATATTTTTAGTTACCTGTCTCACCTGGTACCTGGTTAGGTGCCCCACGGCAAGGTTTATAAACACACAGGTATTCAAAGCACATGAGACGCTACTGAGAAACTAAGGTTTTATCCATTTGAAAATAGGTTATGTCTGATCGCTCTGGGATCGTACTCTACCACTTTCGGACTAGGAACCTCAGGGCTAAATTTGTAGGAAATTATTTGTATTATTACCTCCCGATAGGAATTCGTCGAGTTACATGTCACCTGTATAACAATGATAATGTGTATTCCGAAAAATTTCTTTACGTATCTCAAAAACTGATTTCAATTGTATACCAGTGTTGGCTGTATAATTCTGACTGTGGCTTTGAGCGCAAGTGACAAGAAGTAGCGAGTTACACTCAGTTATTTCTTACATACATATTAGTGTAAACCATTTCCACAAAATAAAATATAAATAAAATACAGATCATTTCATTAATTCACTTTCATTAACTTCACATATAAGGTATTCTTCATTCTCAGTCATTCTTTCCCGATGTAGTGTGTTTACAAAGTCCACCAAAACACTGAAAAATTATTAAGTTGGGTTAGTACTGCAGTCAATTTCTGAGACGATCGGCTCAAAGCCAACTGTTTAAATTTTAACATTCATCTGGAACTGGATGAAGTGGACAGGTAGGTAGATATAAAACTAGATCACTCGGCAGGGGCGGGGGTAATGCCGTGCCGTGTCATCCAGATTCCGATTTCACAAATATACCTATGACTAGATAATTATAAATACTACCGGCCAAACCCGATTTCAGGACAAACTAGTTTTGCCTAGACTAAAATAGTTCTTCCTATACGAGTAAGGATTAATTAGTATAGCCTAGTTCAAACTAATTTGCCCTAAGCCCGATAGGATAAACCAGTTTAGGACAAACTAGTTGATCCTGATATGCACACTCTGGGATAAACTGGTATGGCCTAGTCTAAACATTCTAATATATCTAGAAAATCAAAACAAATAGATAAATTGAATAAAATACTTCATAATTGGAAAAATAACACCCTCCATAATTATACACAATAACACCCTCCATAAATGTCCGCCGCGCACGAAACAAACAGTCGACATGTTTGAATTTGTCCGAACTGCGATCGCGCAGTGCACACGATCCGGCGCATTATTCTGGCGGCTCCGCTTGTCAATACGCGTCTTTTGATCAGTCATCGTCGATTGAAAAGTTTCTTGTGGAAGATTTCATTATGGCGGTATTATGGCGGTATTATGGCGGCATTATGGTGGCGGATATAATTTAAAATGATATTCATTCATGAATAAAGTAGGGCCAAGTTTACCACCCGTGGAATACTTGTGGTTTGGTGATTTAATTAATTTTCTCTATACACTACACACTTGGTTAATAGTTAAGAACAATGTTTATCATCTTAAAGCGTAGTTGTATCATTAGAAATGTTATATTGTTGTACTTACCCTTGAATCGCAATCGGCACCAGCACACTTGGAATTGAAATAATGTCAGTTGTAGATTGTTTGCGACTAATATGTACCGTGTGTTGTGGAACAGCTCGGCCACAGTTGATTTCACGAGTTATAGATAAAGACGTATCAATTCAATGTTATTTTTTGATATCTAAAACTCGTAAGGATAAACCTATTTTCTTACATTTATTTAAATATTCTTAAATTGTTCTTACAGTGCCAATGGATAGATTAAATGTTCCACAATTATAAGTATCTCATTAAAAAACACTTATTTGTAGCCGGACAGTACCTATACCTGGTCACATTGTTGATTGTTCTAAAATATAAACTAAATAAATGTTCCTTTTGTGTTCTTTATTTTTTCAATGAAACATAAAATGAATTTGGAATTAAACATCCGCATAGATTTTAATTTTACTTTTGTGCATAGAGGCTATTGGATAGCGATTTTCTTTTTTTACTGCTTTACTAACGTTGTGCCGTTCTTATTGGTGCAACAACTTCACTGCGCCATTGTAATTATATCAACTAGAGCCGATATTTGGTTAGTTATTTGATTATAGCTTCCTCGTTTTCCTTTTTTTTTCTGGGCACGATTTCTTGAGTACATTTTCATCTCGATATGATTTTATTATACCCGTACCTTGATGATAATTTTCCTTCAAAGTAGAGAACAATCTTCAGGACCACCAACACCTAGATCTGGGTTATAATCTCGGTGTCAAATTATCGTTGAAAATATTAGTGAAATCATACTTTTTGTATCATTTTAGTGACTCATATATTTGTATTTGGCTCTCTATGACAGGTTGAACAGAAAAACATCTATATAGTTACCAATTTAGCATAAAGTAAACATCTAAATCAATGTAAAGCCTCAATTCGCACTGTGGATTTGCATGAATATGTTGTATTTATCGAGTTGTTGAAGATATAGTAAAACACCCAACTCCAATTTTAATATGATTTTGGAGTGGAGCTATTACGCTGTATATCTGCTGTCAGTCAATTTGAGCTGTCTCATTTATTTATTTATTTATTTTTATTTATTTATTTATTTATTCCACTTACATTTATCTTTACAGGTTAATGCCCAATGCGATAAATGTGCTCATCTTAATATCTACCTATAGCATATTACATATAATGCCTTCCTTGTGAATTCACCCAGAGTACAACAAAATAGGTCGATTTCATTAGAAATCAGGTTGAGCGTGCGAAGTGCACGCGTCAGCGGCGCTTCCCTTAATAGGTTGGTCCGACCGCGGGGTTCTACCAGCAGTGGCGGTCGCCGGCGTCGCCATACGTACCTATCCGGAACACATAGACTCAGCTGTCCTAAAATGACTGCATTGTGCAGCTTTCCTCTTAATATCTTAAACAAATGTGAGGTGAGTGCAAAATCCCGTCTTACCCTTAACTCATTGTATCCCACCATGCCTAAAATAAATAATGTGGGATACATCAATGGGTAAAACGGATAGACCCCATGGTACCTCGAGTATAAATATCTAATAAATTTATTTTCAATTCTCTCCAGCATGAGACTATATTTAGCTTCATGCGGAGACCATATGACTGCGTTACATTCTAACTGGCTCCTAACTAGTGCGTTATATAGTGTGATGATGGCTTTTATGTTAGTAAATCCACGGATCGTTCGGAGCATGAAGCCTAAGTTTCTAAAAGCCTTTTTACAACAACCCATAACGTGTTCACGGAATGTCAGACCGGTGTTAAATCTTACTCCCAAATCCTTGACTTCCCCGACTCGCGCCAAAGGCTGCCCCTCAATGTGATATCTGCCCTCAATAGAATTATGTGCACGCGAAAACGCAATTGTAACACATTTCGAACTATTGAATTGTAGGAGATTTTCTTTACTCCAGCTCACCACTCTATCAATGTCCCTCTGTAACCTGACACAATCCTCCTCAGTTCTTACTGCAAGAGATAATTTGAGATCGTCAGCAAATAACAGACAATTAGCATCTTGGACTACTTCTGGCAAGTCATTTACCACCAGAAGGAAACTCAAAGGTCCAAGATTGCTACCATGACTCACTCCTGATCTAGTGAAATATGGATCCCACACATGTCCCGCATATTCAACATATTGTCGCCTATCCCTCAAGTAGCTGGCAAAAAACTGAAGTGTATGCGGGGTGAAACCAAAGCTAGCGAACTTCGTAAGCAACACGTCATTATCGACAAGGTCGAATGCTTTTCGGAAATCGAAATAAACAGCATCAGTCTGCCCCCCACCATCCACTGTTGGTATCAGATGAGCCATGTGACAGAGAAGATTACTGGTGGTGCTCCTTCCCGATCGAAACCCATCATATCATTTGATAAAGACTGCAGCTCCTGTAAATCTGTTGGTGCTATTCTCAACCGCCTTGGGTAAGGCGAGAGATTGTGTCAGTCACAATCTTTCTCCACAGTAACTAACAAAAATCACCTCGTTACCTACTCCTGCTTAAAGCCATAGTCCTAGTAACCCGTTAGGATATCCGCAGCTCCGGATCAGCCTTAAATATAACGGTATAAAAAGACACTTTGAAAAATAATCTATGTCAAGTCGAAAAATAACTATAATTTTTCCTTGTTTCGAAAATTTTGTATTACTTTTATACCGTACAATATCGCTAAACAATCATCAGGTTATATAGATATAGATAATATGGATATATAGATAGTTATATAGATAATATGGATGCAAGCTAAAACCTTTTTTTCAAGCGGGGATAATCATCGAATGACTTCTCCCACCTGAGTGAGGCGGCAGGGAGTGACAGACTCTTACTGACTAAAAACCACCCCGTTCCTACTCCTTCCCTTCGAGCCGGAGCTCCGGCAACTCGTCAGGTCTTCCGCGGCTCCATATCGGCATCAGCCCTATTCTTTGGTGGTCTGATGACGTTTTGAGCACTGGTTCTGTTCGGGCGGCGAGCTACCCATGATCGCCGTTTGCAGGCCCGTGCTTACGATGGCCGGAGATTGCCCCGCGAACCCTGACACCCAGAGTGTCCTTCGCAACGGCTGGGCTGTTAGGCCCCATGCTCCCCGCCTCCTCCTTAGCTAGCATGACTGCTTCGCAAAAAGAGGAGACCACATCCCAGTCCTCCTCGCTCCGCATCATGGCCCGGACTAGGGCCGGAAGCGAGAGGTTGCCGTCACGGATCACGGGGGCACGGCGTGCATGCCCTACGCAGGGCATGCCCTGCTCCACAGAGTGTTCCACCGTGTCCTCGGGGCGGTCCTCGCAGTGATGACACCCGGGCGTTTCCTCCGGCCCTATCAGACACATGTACCTCCCGAAGCTCTCATGTCCGGTAATCACCTGTGGCAGGCGGTAGGTATGGGCGCCATAGCGTCTCTCAAGCCACTCCTCCAAAAGGAAACTTAATATTTAAAGGACACGTTGCATATTTGTGAACAAATTTTCCACAGTAAATATGTCTATCGTGATCTATGTAAATATCATTATCATTAATCAGAATGTAATACCACATAACCGCGGCTTGGTTAACGTAGAAAAAGAATCATGTATAAAGCCGTATGGCATAAGACTAATATGTAAACATACTTACATGAGCTTGGCACTTGATTGCATGACACTGTAAGGTATTAAAATTTTAAGTTATTAAATATAAAAGAACCCACGCGTAGAAGATCTCTTGGATCAGCTTTCAAGGCATTTCTTATTTTCAACCTTAGATTTAGCATCTGATTACCACCAAATAGCTATTGCTGAGGAGTCCAAGGAGAAAACTGCTTTAGTCACTCCCGTTGGGCAATACGAATATAATAGTGCGCTTTTCGAGTTGGCGAACACTCTCGCAGTATTTCAGCGGGTAATACACAAAATTCTTAATAAAAACAGAGCTTCATATATAATTATTTGATGAAGGATTAGAGCGTCTAGAAGAAATCTTGAGGTGGTTACGGGAAGCTGGCTTAACTCTCAAAATGGAAAAACGTTCTTTCCTTTTATAAAACATTGGGATTCCTATGTTATGAAATAGATAGTAGGGCGCATGCCTTTTTTTTTTTTTTTTTTTTTTTTTTT